CCTGCCCGAGGCCCTCTGCCAGCTGAGTGCCCTCGAGAGCCTCATGCTGGACGGCAACTGTCTGAGGGCCCTGCCCGCCGGCTTCAGCAGCCTGCAGCGGCTCAAGATGCTCAACCTCTCCTCCAATCTGCTGGGGGAGTTCCCCACTGCCATCTTGGCGCTGCCCAGTCTGGAGGAGCTCTACCTGAGCCGCAACCAGCTCACCGTCCTGCCCCCTCACCTCTGCCAGCTCCGCCAGCTCCGCACCCTCTGGCTGGACAACAACCGCATACGCTCCCCGCCTGACTCCATTAGGATTCTCCCAGCTGGTCCTGCAAGGCAACCAGATTGCCATCCTGCCTGAGGGCTTTGGGCAGCTTTCCCGCGTCACCCTGTGGAAGATCAAAGACAACCCCCTCATCCAGCCTCCCTACGAGGTGTGCATGAAAGGCATCCCCTACATTGCAGCCTACCAACAGGAGCTGGCCCACTCCCAGCCTGCCGTCAAACCCCGCCTCAAGCTGGTCCTCATGGGCCTAAAGAATGCGGGAAAGACCTTGCTGAGACGATGCCTCATGGAGGAGGATGGGCAGAGGGAGGATGTGCGAAGTCTGGAGGCAGGGAGCACCCAGCCCAGAGGGTGCCCTGGGCAGCAGCAGGACCTTGGGAGAGTGCCAGTTGGGTGTTGCCCCTTCTCAGAGCCTCAGGATGCTTCCTCGGAGCGGGTACCTGCCATGCAGCAGCTTGAACATCTCCCCATTGAGTGTCAGGACTTCCCTTCTCACGTGCCCTCTCACCGGGTGAAGGGAGAAACACCGTGTCCTGCACCATCGCTACCACTGAATGCCCCTCAAGTACCATCAGGACTGGGACTGTCAGGAGGCAGCAAGGGCATTGAGGTGATGGACTGGACAGCGGACGCAGAGAGGGGCCTGACGTTCATTGTGTATGAGCTGGCGGGGGATCCCAGCTATGATGTGATCCAGTCTTTCTTCCTCTCTCCTGGAGCCCTCTACGTGCTGGTGGTGAATTTGAGTGCCTACGTCCCTCAGCACTTCGACCCCTCCGTGGGCTATTTCTTGCGCTGGCTTGGTTCCAAGGTGCCCCATGCCGTGGTGTGCATGGTGGGAACCCATGCTGACCTCTGTGCGGAGCGGGAGTTGGAAGAGAAGTGCCTGGACATCCATCACCAGATTGCTCAGCAGGAGAAGAGGGATGCCGAGGGACTCCAGAGCTTGGTCCAGCAGGTGGATGAGGCTCTGGGACAGGACTTTGACCTGCGCTGCTCCAGCCCGCATGCTGCCTTTTATGGGGTCTCGGACAAGAACTTGCGTCGAAAGAAAGCCCAGTTTCAGTACCTTCTCAACCACCGCCCACAGATCCTCTCTCCAGTGCTGCCTTTCAGCTGCCGGGACCGTTGCCAGGTGCGTCGCCTGCGGGACAAGCTCCTCTCAGTGGCTGAGCACCGGGATATCTTCCCGAACCTGCACCGGGTGTTGCCCAAATCCTGGCAGGTGTTGGAGGAGCTACACTTCCAGCCACAAGCTCAGCAGCTGTGGCTTAGCTGGTGGGACTCTGCCCGGTTGGGCTTGCAGGCAGGCCTGACGGAGGATCGGCTCCAGAGCGCCCTGTCCTACCTGCACGAGAGTGGGAAGCTGCTCTACTTTGAGGAGCACCTCACCTTGCGGGAGTACGTGTTCCACAACCTGCCGCGGCTCATTGACATCCTCAACGTCTTCTGCCAGCGGGATGCCACCGTGCTGCTCCAGAAACTGCTCAGCGACACCCACATTGACGAACTGAGGGCCACTCAGCTCCATCATTATGTGGAGGGCTTCTTGCTGCATGGCCTACTCCCTGGCAACGTTATCCGTCTCCTCCTTAAGCCCCACATCCAGAGCCGGGAGGATCTGCAGCTCATCCTGGAGCTGCTGGAGAAGATGGGGCTCTGTTACTGTGTCAACAAACCCAAATGCAAGCCCCTAAATGGGGCAGCCACTTGGTACAAATTTCCCTGCTACGTGAAAAATGAGGTGCCACACGCAGAGGCGTGGATCAATGGCGCCAATCTGAGCGGACAGTCCTTCGTGGTCGAGCAGCTGCAAATTGAATATAGCTTTCCATTCATTCTCCCACCCGGCTTGTTTGCACGCTACAGTGTCCAGATTAACAGCCACGTGGTTCAGCGGTCAGATGGCAAGTACCAGATCTATGCCTACCGGGGAAAGGTGCCCGTGGTGGTGAGCTACCGGCCTGCCAGGGGAGCTCTGCAGCCAGATACTCTGTCTATCGCTAGTCATGCGTCCCTACCAAATATCTGGACAGCTTGGCAAGCCATTACCCCTTTAGTGGAAGAACTGAATGTCCTGCTCCAGGAATGGCCGGGCCTGTACTACACTGTGCACGTCCTCTGTTCAAAGTGCCTTAAAAGAGGGTCACCCAACCCACACGCTTTTCCAGGTAAGGCTTTTTTATTTTATTTTATTTTTTTTTCCCTTTTTTCTCCTCTGGTCTGACTTCCTTCCCTGCCGACTTGAGTCATGAGAGAAAATATTAGAGTAGCTCCAAGGAGACAGGCTTAAAATAACCCTGTTCTGAGATGGGGGGAGGTGTTAGATCCCCCTTTGTCTGTGCCTTCTCTCTGCTTTTTGGGTTTTGGCCCCAAGCATTGGCGGTGCCATTGTTGAAAAGGCCCTGACTGTCCTCCTCTTGTTTTCATTCCTTTGAATGGCACTGGGGTTTTTTTTTTCCTAACTCCCTTTACCCTGCAGCTCCCTCTTCCTCAGGGCTGTTTGTAAATGCAGATGGAGAAGCATGAAAGACTGCAGGTGTCCTGTCCTTCCCCCCATTCCACCCTCCACCCCCAAAACCTGGGCTGTGCTGCAGCCTGTCTGAATGCAGGAAAGCTCCTGCTGGTAGACAATGGGTGTGTATATAGCCCTGTATGAAAAAGCACTTTCTCGTGTGGGAGCCCTGTCTCTGGCGGAAAGCTTTCCTCCCTGAAGAGAGGGGGTTACTCCATCTTCTTTGTTTAAGTGTCTCACCTAGAAGCGATTCCCAGACTGTGTGTGCCTTTTGGAGCTGTTATTGAAAGCAGTTATTTTCCTTTCTCTCTCCCCCTTCATCTAACAAAAAGCAGCATAATCTCTCTCCTCTGGAATATGACTAGTTGTGGTGCTTTTTAAAGCTGATGCTTCTAAAGTTGTGGTTTTATCAGTGGTGTTTTCTAACAGCGTTTTACTTTGTATGTATGCAGGTATTGCCTTCTAACCCGTGTCCTCTCTGCTCTGCTGGGTTTGCTTTGGGGCTTGTGGGGGCCATGGAAGAGGTGCTTTGGTGTGTAAATCTGCATGAAATCAAAATGCACTCTGAACTGTAAGCAGAGCTCTGAAAGCGTGCTTTTTTTACACCCACCCCCCCACC